TTTGCTTGCCACAAATTTGGCAAGCCGTTTTGAATGCCAAAATTTGGCAAGCTTTGGTCGGCACTCGTCATAAGCTTGCCAAATTTTGGCAAGCTGAGGAGTAATTCCGGGCTGGGGAGTATTTCCGGGCCAAGTTTGCCAATTTTTTGCACTCAAAACGGCTTGCCAAATCCGTGGCAAGTAAACTTACTACTGGGATGGCAGTGTAACCTGCAGACATATGCATTCAATCAACTGACTTAGAAGTATGTGTATTTTCTGGGGCACGCAAGCCTTGTGTTTAGTATCAATTTCCTTCTTACACCACAAGGCTGCGCAGATGGCCAATCACATTTAAAAATAGAAATATAGTACTCTTTAAAAAGTTGTTGCCGGTACTGGGGCGGGGGGACTCGGCGCAGCGTTCTGTCGCGGTAGCAGCCGTGCGCCGTAATTTGACACTGCGAGATAAGCCCGCCGCGCGCCGCGCTCTCCCGCCCGGCCGGCCTGCTCGGTGCGTGTCTGAGTGTCACCAGTTTGTCCGACTGGCCAGCAGGCGGGGAGACCGGGTCGAGAGTCTCTAGGTCGTCTATCTGGTATGGGTCTGGAGCCATGTAATTATGTTTTATTTAATTTATGATAGTTTTGGGTTTTACTTTGCCCTTTGTGTTAGTTTAAACTTTGTAAAAAATAGACTGTTACACCAATTTGAACAAATTTCATTGCCATCGAATGTTGTTGATTTCGGCGAGGACCGCCTGCTGAAGGCAGAGGTCTCCCCGCCTGCTGGCCTGGCCGGGGGAACTAAGGGACCGGTCCCCAGTGGCCGCGTCCCCCTCGCCACTCCACCCGCCGCGCTTCGCCTGGCCGTCGACGGCGCTCTCGGTGCGTGTCTGCGTGTCGCCAGTGTGTCAAACTGTCTTCCGATTCATACCGCACCGCTCAGCATTTCGCGTCTCGAGACCAGCTTGCCGGGCCTGCGGGGCCACGGCTGCCGGCCGCGCGTATGGTGGAAGCGCGTACCGAATGGAAGACCAAAACGAGAATTTTATTTAGGTGGTAACAAGGTGGCTTCTAGTCAAGTTATTAATGTTCAATACAGTTGATTACAGCTCAACAGAGAAATTTTGTTCAAGCGCCTACCTCTATTTGCCTCGGGCAGTCACCGCGTTAAAAATTTATTTTTTTAATTTTTTTAAAACTAAGACGTGAAAACCTGGCGGGCGCGGAAGCCACAGCCGTGGCGCGTTTTCCACCGCGTGCTTGATGACGCGTCCCCTGACTGAGTGTTGTGACGGCCGTATCGCGACACGCGAGACTCAAAGGGTTGCCGCGCAGGCCCTGAAGAGGGAGTAAAGAGGAACAGGCACGGAGGCAGGGCAGGAAGAACGGAGACGGAGAGGAGACAAACGGAGAGAAACAGGCGCGACAAGCAGGTAGAACAAACGTGCATGATTAGGTCCTTTCTTTGGCCCTGGTAATAACTTCAAAGAATTTGTACACCTGATGTGAACGCTTATTACATTTATTAAGTTTTGTTAATTCCGTTGACGACCGCCAGGTGAACTGGTGGGAACCCCGAGCAAAGTGCATCATCAAGTCTGACACTGCGATGCACCTGGTTTTTCCTCCGGCATACGCCTCGCGCCTTCGTCCAGCCGCAGCCCTGGCCAGGGGACGGGACGCGAAATGCTGAGCGGTGCGGTATGAATCGGAAGACAGTTTGGCACTGGCGACACGCAGACACGCACCGAGAGCGCCGTCAGGACGGCCAGGCCGGGCGGAGCGTGGAGGTGGAGTGGCGCGGGGGACGGGAGCACCGGGGGGCCGATCCCACGGTTCAGGCCAGCAGGCGGGCAGACCTCTGGATGTTGAGGTTCACGGTTCGGTAAAATTACGGCGCATCGTTACAGGCATCGACGTGAATATTGGAGACGCGTTATAACGCGTTCTGTATACAGAACAAGATTACCTAAAGGGCGGCGGTCGCCAAATTTCCATACCTTGCGCACAGCCGCTCTGAATGCGGCTTAACTTCATTCAAAATTTCAAAGCTAGAAATTTAACGCATCAAATTTTCCGGAGAAAATCTGACCCGACCGTAGGCGAGGATGACTCTTTAGGAAGGCACGTGCAAAGTTTCAGAATTTTTGGTCAAGGCGTTTGCGAGAAAACAAAATTTACGTATCGGTCTACATCGCCTCCCGAGGCGGCGCGCTCCTTCGAGCGCGCTCGGCAAGGCTCACTTTGGCCTCCTCTCCGCGATGCGCGCGGTCAGCGACGCCAACTCTGCGGCACGCGCCGCGCGCCTCGGCTACTCACGGCCAGCAGCCCAAGCCAGCCGGCAAGCAGGCCTCGGGGCGCGAAACGCTGAGCTGGGCAGAATGAATCGGAGGACAGCCCGACACACCAGTGTCACGCGGACATGCACCGAGAGCGCCGACAGGAAGGCCGGGCGAAGCAGGGCGGGTGGAGTGGTGAGGGGGACGCGGCCACTGGGGACCGGTCCCTTATTTCCCCCGGCCAAAAATCCGTGGTGAGGCTCAACCTGCGGAGTCCTAAAAGTACTGCAACAGCGGTGAAGATTTGACCGCACATTTCTACACTGTTAGAAATTAGCTCCGAAATTTTATGGAGAAAAACTCTACAATCACGTTCATGGAGACTCCATTTATTATCAACCTTTTTTTCGGAGAGATTTTTTCAGGGCTTGAACAAATGTTCCTCGGAGCATTACTTCGTTCCTGATGGGAATTAAAATGCACGTCTTTTCTCAGAAATTTGAAAGAGGGCTTCGCCGAAGCATTCTTCGGTCTGAAATGGCGAGAAGGGACAATGTCTTTCGAGCTCCTTTGGGTCCTCGAGATCCAGGTATCCCTCATGAAAACTGAGCTGAATTAAATAGAGATTCACCTTGCCCTCATTTTTTAATTGGTTGCAAACTTTTTTTTCGTGATCTCCTGACAGAGAAGCAGGCATTCTGGTTCCAAATTACGAAACTCTTCGGAGAAAGCCCAGAGTTTTCCTTTACGGAGATCTCTTTGCTAAAGTTTAGGAAAAACTACATGATTTTTCCATTTTTTTATCGGAAATTAACGCAGAATTGGGAAATTGTGACACTATTTGTGTAAAATTCAGCAGAGTTTAAGTGTTTAATGTGTCGTGGGTTCAGAATTCACTAGAAATGACCCGACGTGTACAACCCATTTTGAATCCAGCGATGACCGCAGATTGTGACCGTGAACTGAACGAAATTGTGGTATACAGAAAGTCCTGACCAAACCACCGACAGACCCTTTTATTGGCCAGCGCCCGCACTCGGCCCTCGACATCTGCTTATTCTGCACTTGGTGTCGCGTTCCGTCCGCGCCTGGCTGCTGCACGGTAACAACGGAACCTGGTTTTCCCAGGAAGCCAATGGTGAAGACATAAGCGATTTCCAGAGACTTCCTGGGAAAATCAGGTTCCGTTTTTACTGTGTGGGTAAAGTAGAACGCCCCTAACACGGGGCTCGGTAGGGACTGCAGAAGCCACATAATTTGCTGACAAACAAAATGTAATTTTCTAAATGAGCTCTATGAGCAGGGGCAGAGACACAGCTAGCCGAGTCGGTTGAAACCACCGAACCGCCATTAAAAAAACGAACGCGTCCTCTTTACGCTACTTTCAAACTCTAAACCTCCGTTTTCGTTCTACAAGATACCTCATCGGCCATTTTCAAGAATCGAAACTATTTTCCTATCTTCTTCCTAGGAATGAATTTGTTGGTATGAGCATGAGTCTTGCATCGACCGAACCCGAATCGTACCGCGGGAACGGTTTAGCCACCGACCAGCTTGCTTCGGCAATTGCCATTAGCAATCGTCACCAAATCGTTCGGTACGCCTCATTGTCGCACGGAATAAAGTTTGCAAGGCCACAGATGAATGTTTACAACGAAAGAAAAAAAAACTGTTTCTGCCGGGAATCGAAGCCGGTCCCTTGGATTTAGAGCCAGAATCGGACGACGTCCCTCTCTTGCATGACAGGAGCGTCCGTCTGTGCCAACGATAGATAACAAGTCGACATTGTTCTAGGGAGTTTAGCTCGAAAGAGTTAAATTGACTTAACCCGCACAGCGCTTAAGTATGCAGTAAGTAAACATAGCGCCAAGTGCTCTCAGGTACTGAGAGATAAGTCGATTTAACTCGTGGAGGGTGTAAATGTGTAATGAGACAAGTAGACTTGTCTCGTTTGGACAGCCGCGTCCAAACGAGATAAGTCAGAATCTTGCTATATCTACAAAAACGACAACATTTTGACAAAATCAACCGTTCTATAGTGATTTGCATGACGTAGGAATCTAAAAAGCTTATTAAAAGTATCAAATTTGGTACAGGGACGTGCTTTTTTCACTTTCCTGAGGTTGTGTCATTCGACTTATCCCCCTTTGCCGCTTTTTATGTCGTCCAAAGGAGTTAAGTCGACATGTCTCCATGCAGTCAGTGCGGAAAAACGAGATAAGTCGACTTAACTACAGGGCCTCTCAATCCATGCTGTTAAGTCGACATACCTCCCAAGTGGGTTATTGCTCTACAAGATAACTCCACTTATCCCCTTTTTCAATTGGCTTGTGAGCCCAAACTGTAATCACTAGAATCGAACAGACTATTGCAAACGATGCGCAGGATCACGCTCTTTCGGATGGTCGTGAAAACCCCATTTCGGGATAAGTCGACTTATCCCCTTTTTCCGCTTCGCCACTGCTTTAACATAGATAGGATCCAATGGTCTAGGTTGAAAATCTTACCTCTGGCGTTCAAAAAACGTGAAAAAGTGTCCCAAGTTACCTCCGTTGACGGTAGTAATTCAGTGAAAGAAAAAAGTTCACACGTGTGCTCGAAAACCTCTTAAAGCAAGAGAAAAAAGTTCATATGAGCCTGAAAGTGAAGCGTCAAAACCCAAAACATCTACATTTAGAAAAAGAAAGAAGCCACTGCCCCCCAGAGGAACAAATGAAATTTGTTTGAAGGAATACGTACACTCTCTGCCATAACTCGATGGTGACTAGTGACTCTCTACTCGGCCGTATTGGTTGTCATTCCTACCATTCCGTTGGTCACGACCCATCCTACTCGTGATTACCTGTGCGACACAACGTGTCCACTAAGAGGAAGCGCTCGTGAAACTTGGACGTCAGGCTTCAAAAGAATCGTCGAACATTCGTCCCCCCACCCCCAAAGCACAACTGTTATAGAGTAGTCCCGTTTAAGAAAAGATACTTTGTGCCACGACCCCCTCCCCTACGATCGTCCTGTTTTTTTGCAGGCATGTTACCAACCTTAAAAGACTTCAAAAGCCAAAATACTAGCCAGGGGAAGGCCTTCGGCCTCGATGCTGAGCTGGATTTAGCTGGAGATGGAAACGCATTTTCATCAGTAGCAAATTAGGATTTGTTTATGTTGAAAATGGGCCTCTTTTCTTTTTGGGGGGTGATAGCCAGGAAGTATGCATTTGCGCGAAGGATTGTGATTCGACAATGGTTGGTTTCTCCTTGAATCGACGGAAAGCTATCTAATAATCTAAAACTAAATTGTCTAACCAATCCTAACCTAACCTAACGGGCTCGTGACAGATCTTACTCTACTCGTGACAGATCTTATTCTCAAACTAAACGGTCCAACCAATCCTAACCTAACCTAACGGGCTCGTGACAGATCTTACTCTACTCGTGGCAGATCTTTCCCTACTGTCGACAGATCTTTAAACTAAATGGTCCAACCAATCCTAACTTAACCTAACGGGCTCGTGACAGATTTTAATCTACTCGTGACAGATCTTTCCCTTCTCTCGACAGATCATATTCTCAAACTAAATGGTCCAACCAATCCTAACCTAACCTAACGGGCTCGTGACAGATCTTACTCTACTCGTGACAGATCTTATTCTCAAACTAAATAGCCTTTGAAGCTTGGCATATGGCGCTACGACTATGGAGCTTGGAATATTGAGCTGGGACTATAGAATATGGACTATGGAGCTAGAATATAGACTATGGAGCTTGGTCTATAGAGCTTGGACTATAGAGCTTGGACTATAGACTTCGGACTATCGAATTCGGACTATTGACCTCGGACTATGTATACATATATACATATAAGATTAAGATCAATAATAAGATACCTATAGTAAACTAAAGGTATCCGGGGGGGAGGGGACAATTTGGATGTTCAAATTCCCCAACAGGGTGCTTCGCTTCGCTCAGCAATTATGTCCGGCAAAAATTTATTGGCTGAGTTATGGACCCGCAAAGTTACAATTACATGAATTTGGGTACTTTGACTCATGCAGTCAATTTTTGCACCAAGTGGCTGAGACAGGCGTCCCGTCACGTAAAATCGTCCTAGGAACGAGATTTCGCCCACAGATCGGGCCTTTTTGACGATATGACCTAAAACCCACTAAAAATGACTAAAATAGCACATTTGTCTTGAGATTTTCGGGAATTTATAATTTGATGGCACTTGAGTGTACTGAAGTGATAGAAAAAATCGCCCTGAATCCAATGAGCACCCACCCAGAGTTTTATCTCTAGCCGTCTCGTAGTAACAGCGCTCCAAAGTTGGAGTTTTGAGAAATTTCGGGATTTTTTTTTTCGCGACAGAGAATGGACGCCATACCTGAAACCTGCACTGAAAAGATGAAGGATGCGGCTGTTTTTTTTTTGTGCTACTATTCGCCACGCGAATCAAAACTGCTGCATGTGGTGTACCTGGGAACAAAAACTTTTTAGAAGAACCTTCACTAAGAAGCATTTTAAGCTTCTTGAAGCGATCGAAATAAACCTCAACAAAAATCCAAATGATAGAGAAGCTCTTGTGCACTATGTTGACATGAAAGAAACATTGAATGTATTGTTGGAGGATCCAACCGTCCAAAGGGAAATAGAAGAATCTTTTGAAAAGAGGCGCAGGAAAGAAGTAAAGAAGGGCGTAACTGTCAAGGCCCATTAATTCTCGACACTCTTAGTTTTTAAATTTTTACTGACATTAATAGTTTTTACGAAAGTGTGATGAACTGTCAAAAAACGGTTAAAACTGGAAACGTCCTAAATAAGAACTAGATTTTTTGCAGTCAGAGTACAGTTGATTTATGGCTAACAAGGGAACCTATTCAGGGGGTACACTCAGATTTCGACCAAACTTTTTTTTTCGTAAGAATAACATATAAGATTAAGAATGCACCCCAAAGTTGGTGCCAAGATACATATCCACACCCCTCCTGACTATTTTTAACGGAAAAAAGGGGTAAAATGGCCCATGATTTTACGTGCAACGAGCAGATTTTCGGTCGTAATTGGGCAGTCGCACCAAATTTGTGCAAAATATGATAATATATGAAACAGACCAAAATTTTCTCTCATTTTCGTCACAAGGGGACCAAACATTGAAGGAAATGACAAAAAACTCGACTTCAAATTTTCCGATTCGATGTCTGAAAATGACCCATACAATGCAAAAAGGCTTATTTTACCCCTTTTTTAGGTTTTAAAAAATTGGTAAAGGGTGTAGATATATATCTTGGCACCAGCTTTGAGGTGCATTCTTAATCTTATATGTTATTCTTACGAAAAAAAAAGTTTGGTCGAAATCTGAGTGTACCCCCTGAATAGGTTCCCTTGTAAGTGTACGTAAACTGCATTTTAACTGCAGTTCAATACAGTGACCCCCCGTTGTTTGACCCGAAGTTGGGAGTTACAGCGGAAAAACATCGAGGGACGGTGGTCATTTCCCGCCGAAATCCCTACCTAGGGTGGCGTCCTTCCACTTCCAGCCTCTAATGCAGGATGCTGTGGAGACGAAGATTGGTGGACAAACTCATCAACTGGTGTGTTGTTTGTTTTTCCTTTAGAGGTTAAGTATTCATTCAAATTTTTTAAGCTGTTCTTTTTGGCGTGGACTTGTTTAAGATGCCATTACCAGAGCATCTTAAGATGATGGAAAGTCATGTCTATTGAATGTCTCTTTGATATCAGTACAATATTTACTTGTTTCTGTGCACATCCCTAAACACTTAACAAATTTCAGGACAACCAGGAAACGATGAGAATGAGGGTTTGACGTCAACATGTGGGATTTGTCATTCAGTTTGTAAAGGGACTATCAAAGTTCTTGTGCCCTGTGGAGACTATTCATTAGCACTGCGTGCGCGGAGCAAATCAAAGGGACGAAGAAACAAATTGCTCTTTCCAGTCGAGTAGTGCACGGAGGTAAATGCGGCCCGAAGAGACATGTTTGCCACAATGCTGAGACATCCTTCAATGATCCCACCAACATCTGCGGCGCTACGGCAACGCACACTACGGGCCGCTTATCAAGCGGGTCAAGTGTGGGGAAGAGCTGATCAGGTTGACTATGATCTACCTTGTCCATCGAAGTGGGCTTGGCGAATGACGCCCTCGGGATGGGAGACTTTTTGGACCACTTCGGACTGCATCTGGAAAACATGCCGGGATCTCAGCCAGTGCGGATGCGCATCTGACTGTAGCACAAGAAGGTGTTGTTGTGTCCGAGCCGGCGTTCCTTGCACTTTGTCCTGCAAAAAGTGCAAAGGAGATTGCGCGAATGTGCTGTAAGTGCAAATGAACATGTTTGGTGAGTTATTAAACAAGAATTGCAGGTTAAAACAATAAACAATTTTATTTACAGGCCACAAAATACAACAATACAAACCGGTGAACATGATGAAGTGCAGTATTAAACAATAGACAATTTAATTTACAGGCCAGATACACCAATACAAACCGGTGAAGATGATGAAGAAGATGTGGATGACGACCTGTATTAAGTTCCAAACAATGTTACAAATTGTTTTTTTATTATTTTTACGGCATGTTTTACCATACTGAGTTAGCCTTTAATTTTAACTCCTTTTTACGTACGTGAAGAAGTACGTAGTCTTAGACCTACTGTTGACCGCTGTACTTTTAAAATATATATATTAAAAAACAACAATAAGGCCCTTATTTCTAAAATGAGGGCTGAACGGTGCGTCGTATCGATGTGGAGTGTTTCCCATTGAATTTGTCGTCATCGAATTGTGCGGAAACGACACCTAGATCGTTTCGAAGCGAAAAGAATATTTTTTTGAACACTTTGAACAGGTCATTGAACGCAGCTAGCAGATCACCCTGAGTGTTGGCAACATTATAACCTTCATTTTCATCACCAGCGGCACCATTTAACCCGGAAATGACACCCCATTCGCTATTTTAGCGCAAGTTTCACAAAATTTGCATTTAGGCCCTTAATTTCAAAATGGCGGCTGAACAGTGCGTGGTATCAATGTGGAGTGTGTTCCATTGAGTTTGTCGTCATCGAATTGTGCGGAAACGACACCTGGATCGTTTCGGGGCGACAAAAAATTTTTTTTTTAACATTTTGAACACTTTGAGCAAGAAATTGAACACTGCTCGGCTCCTATGGGTCCAAAATGAGTGTGCTGCGGGTCAAAATGACCGTCAGGGCCTTAGCAACACGCTTGCAAAAAATCACGCTTATTATATCTTTTGCCGTTTTTTTTTTCACCAACCGCTATGACTAAAGACCTTCGCTCGCGCACCGTACTAGCCCATGTACTAAGTGCTTATTGTGTCTACTGAACAAACCATTGTGTTCCCCCATAGCCATGCCTCCTAAGGGAGAGTGGGGTAATTCCGGACACGGGGTAATTCCGGACACTTCGATTTTCACTGGGTTTGAGTGAAGATAACTCAAAATCCCACCTAACAGAGGAAGATAATCAGTTAAAAATGATAATTCCAAATCGCCAAGGTAGGACGTCAAACCGTTTAGCAGTGAACGCTTCACGAAATTTGAGTACCATCAAAAATAGGCAAAAGCTGCATCTTTCCCTCGTATTTCCATGTACTTATCGAACCTTACCGTCAAGTTCAGTCCCATGACTAAAATTTTATCATATTATATGGTCATTGGACTTTACTTTGGCGTTTCGGGAGTGCTCGTATGGCTCGCCGATTTCTTACATTTGAACATCAAAGGTTTTCACTACCTGTGGGGTAAATCCGGACAAGAGGGGTTATTTACTTCAATTTCCCGCATAATGTTAAGGTAGTGGGTTCAAAATTGTGGACATGCATCCCCACCGTTCAGAAGGAT